CCGCGCGCCCTTCCGCCGGGCGGGTGTTCCGGGCGCGGGGGAGGCGGCGCCGGAAGGCGCGGGGCGGGGCGGTTGCGCGGCAACGGGGCGGGACGGCGCCCGCCTCAGGGCGGTGGCGGGAAAGTGGCTGAGGCGACCGAGGCGACCGCGGCGACCGGCGCTTCTGCCCCTCGTTCCGAGACAAAAATCCCCCCGGGGACAGCACCGCTGCCCCAGTGACTTTAAAACGTTTAGCCTACCTCCTACTGAATTATTTCTATTTATTTATTTATTTGTTTGTTTGTTTATTTATTCTTCAATCTGCACCAAATGCTTGATCGAACAGTAGCAGCAGTGTCCTTAACCCCTTCTCCCCCTCGCCCCCCCCCTCCACGATATTTATTAATTTATTTATTTTATAAGGAAAAAAACTATTCTGAGACTTGTCCAAGCAAGTTTAAAATTGTTACTCATTATGGAGAAACGCTGTCCCGTTTTCCGCTCTTGATAAACAAGAAACAACGGGGAAAGCAGTGGCAGGACTGCAGGTCCGGACCACGAGAAGGTCACTTTGGAGATTCACCACCCAGGTTTTCCATACATTACAAAGATCTTTCCCGGAGAATGCCAGGATAAGTGAAGCTTGCACTTTTATCTGAGAAGTTAATAGCGAGGATTCTAAAAATGTGGAAATTAAACTATTAGAATATCTCGTAGCTGAAACGTGAAAGATAACGGGTGGAAATGTGATCAGCACGATCAAGTAGACGCGGCTGCAGGAGCCGTCTCTGCGAAATGCACATACTTCATGGGGATGCAAACCTGTTTCTGCAGCGTAGGGCACTGTAATCAGAACCACGACCAGGGGCTCAGATGCCAATCTAACATTTGAAACCCAGTAGTCTGATCTATTTTCAAGGTTTCACACCCATCTACACTGGACACAATTTTCTATTATACTTCTCTCACAGAGCCCATCCCCTCGAAACTACAACAGAATAGTTCCATTGTCCAGTAGGACTCGTTTAAAAAGTGAAATAGGATTAAAAGCAGCAGCAGGAGATGCAAAATCTTTACAGATGCTCGGTGCTGCAGTATCATACATTCTTCATGCCACAGTAAATTAAAGCAAATTAGCTAGCAAGTATGTGCATGCCATTAGCAAGCACTTCCCTAAAATTGCTCAGCATTATTCAAAACCCCCCAGTTACAGCTCAACTGCTAAATAATTCAGCTTTTAAAGATCTGCCAACACACGTTTGCAAAGGAAACGAGTAGCAAATCTGAAGAATTCAGAGAAGGTGGCAAGGAACCTCCATTTTGGGGTCCCAAAATATAACCATAAGGGTTTGCATGGGGCCAGAGAGGACTGGGAAGCTTGCAGGGTGCTCCAAAGCTGGGAAATGCTAATTATTAATCAGGACAGACACCTAGAGGATCAAGTTCAATGCAGAAGGGACATGAAATATGTCCTTAAAGCACCTTGAAGCCAAAACCCTTTTTGTATCCCACAGGGCTACAAATAACGAGCCCGCTACCCGCAGGCTTGCAGCGGACCTGCAGAGCACTGGAAATGTCTATCCATAGACTTTTTCAAAGAGAAAAGGCTGAAATCCTCTTATGTGAGCAAAAGTGGGGTTGTCTGTTAGACTACCAACTATTTAATTCTGCAAATAGGTCAGGTCAGATGTGCAGACGTATCTGAACACACTCAAATTTACAGATACCAGGGAACCATCTGCAGAAGGGGGAAAAAAAGATGTAGGTAAAGAGTTAATAGCTTTTAATTGGATTGTGAATCATGGGGAATCAACCAGGGAATATTCCTGCCTTTGTATCACCTGTCTCAAAACCACTGAACTCTCTGAGACTAAAGTCCCAAAGCCAAGTAGCTGGAGAAGCAGCGTATTTTGATGCACGTTTCCCCCATGGAATAACGAGTTCAACTGACGTCACTCCTCAAAGAGGTGGCATTGTAATACAAAATGGAATCGCCCATCATGTTCCCAAGGGTTTTAAGCGCAAACTTGTGCACTGATGTTTCATTAAGCCGCGACAGGTTGGAAGTGGAGGAGTTTGGGCCCCTCCGCAGCGTTTGAGGGAACGCGGCGACCGCCAGCGTCTCGCTCTTTGTGCTCCAGGCTCTTCCCGTGGCGACCTGCCAGGCCTGGGATTGCCTTTGCCTTGCCCATGGAATCGGACTCAGGAGTGGCACCCCAGCACATCCACATTGCTTTTATTAGGTCTTCTGGCAACAGCTACAGGGTAACAGACACTTTGGACTGCAGAGTTGCAAGCAAAAATCAGGACCGAGGCAAAGAAAAAAAAGAAAAAAAACCCCAAAGCAATCAAATCAAATATAAATACAATGTCCTGGAGCTCTTTAATCATACCATTTTCTTTAATAAAGAGGTGGTTGCGATCTTACAGTATTTTCTTTTGGCCTAATCCAAGGGTTTTGTTACTCTTTACCATTCTTAATTCCACGCATACAAAAGAAAAAAAGAAAAAAAAAAAAGATATCCAACCTTTAAAATATAAGCCATATTTTCTTAATAAGTTTTGTGCTGCTGCTTGCTTAGTAAGTACTGTACATCGACTGTTCACGTCTGTTTAACAAAATGGACCATACAGAGATCAAGTTAAAGCAAAAAAAAAAAAAAAAAAAGAAAAAAAAAAACCATAAGAAAAATAACAACCCAAAGAGAGTGTCTTGCAAACACTCCAAGTACAGTTCAACACTTGCTCATACAAAGGAGGTACGAAGGGGCTAGAAGTTGAACACAAAAGCACTGGCATCCCCGTCCGTTTTCTTTCACAACTATTGAAGTGCAAATCACTCGGGCAAGATAGGAGTTTCACTTTATTGCTGTCCTGCTGTCTGGATTCCCTTCCTGGAAGAATCCCGTTCTTTTATTTCCCGCTCGTTTTCCAAGAAGAAAACCTTTCATGAGGCAACGGTGAACGCTCGGGCTTTTCCGCACTAGACACCAGGTCACACGCTTGCAAACACCACAACACCCCGACCGTCCCCGCTAAGCTTTTCCGAGGGCTGGCCTGCCCTCGTGCACCCCGTGATGGCCAGATACGAAACGAGGGAAAGGAGCAGCGTTCAACACGTGGCAGGTCACTGACAGGTACTTCTCTCGCCCCAGCTCTGCATGCGCTGGGCCGTGGTTGCAGGTGCACGAGGGACGTGTGCGCCCCGGGACTCGGCGGTGACGCGGCAGCCGTTCCGGGTGACCGGCGAGGTCCGTGGTAGCTACAGCTCCTGATATGTTTACGGGTTAACACCTATGTGCTACGGGGAGCAAAATGCACAGTACCTCAACATGCAGTCGTTCATTTGCAATGGACAAAATAAGGGGTAAGGGACACTGAATGCCGGAGCCGGGGGGAAGGCTTAGTGCATAGTCCATTATACAAAACATGCGGGTGACTCAAACCCCTTCCAAGCTTCTTCAAAATGGAAATACGCTTTTAAAGGGCACAGCAGCTGAGTTTGGCTTTATTTATTTATTTATTTATTTAAAACCATGAAAACCCAACGCGGAGGGTGAAATAAGGGCAGAACACGATCTGCAAGTCAACAGCCGAGAGTTTCAGAAGCCGTGAAGCTTTTGTGTAGTTAAAATTGCTGTTAAACGTAGGTGCTACATCAGCAAGTCTTCATTCATAGTTTTCTATGAACAGCCACCTTACAAATGAGTGCAAATCTTAAAGGTCCATTTTACATTTCAAGTCTCAAGGTTAAAAAAAAAATCGTTACAGAGCAACACGCTGTTTCTGTAAATGCCCACGCTATCTCTTTTCAAATGGTTAAAAATGGCACGTGCGATGCCACAGCTACTAAAAGACATTTCAGGATTACAGACCCAACTAAAACGTGAAAATAAAAGGCAGAACCCAAAATACCTTTGCCCTTCGCTGCTGAGCGGCAGCAAGGCGCTTTCAGTCACAATGCTGGTGAACAAACCGATTGCGGAGAGAACTTTGACCGTAAGCCCTGGCTTTGCTCTCAGCGAGGAGCCTCCCAACACAAGGCGGAGCGGGTAGAGCCCCTCGGAGCTCGTCGGAACACAAGCCCGGGTCCGGAGGGTGAAATGGGAGAGGTGCTGGATTTGTGTCACTATGCAGGCACTTGTGTATAGGAATGTAGGCTTCTCACGTTGACGCTTGGTGCTCACGCGGTCCCTGCTCTCTACAAGCCTCCCTGGGAGCTCCCCGCCCTACCGACCACGCGTGCTGCTCGGCCTCCTCCCCGTCACCTTGCAGATATACAGCGGTGGAGGTTGACACAAGGCCAGAAAAGGAAAGCATGAGCCAAATGCTGCGGTCTGGAGAAAAACACAACTGCGCTCAGGGCAAGGTCTTCACAAGACGCGACGGCAGCGGGCTCAGCACTTAGTTTGCATAGCATATAATGTCTGCGTTTTTTCACAAACACGTTGCCCGAAAAGAAAACGAGTACAGTGAACTGTTGGTGTTAGGACAGAGCAATAGGGCGACATGACTAATGTTTTTATGAACAGCTAGCAAGGCAAGTTTAAACATCCGTAAGTAAAAAATAAAACGTGTGCTTCTATCAGTGTGTACCGAGCAAGGGCAGCGCTCGTGACAGGCTTTGCAACGGTGTTGGCTCTTGGCAGAGCTCAGCAGCAGTGCACACGTAGCAATCTCCCTCTAAGGAAGCTTTTGTGCACCTTTTCATATCAAGGAATCAGATAATCTGCTCACGTGCGATTGGTTAAGGAGCTGCTACTACTGCTCTGCTGTGCAGAATGGTCACTGTAGAGCAAAAAGAGTCTGAAAAGCAGCCACTGTTTTACTGCTGGGGGGAAAAAAAAATAAAATAAAAGGCTTTCTTGCCATTATGAACACAAACCAGGAGGAGTTTCCCCGACAACAGTCACAAAGTACTTGATAACTCTAAGGAACAATCTGGTGTGCTTTCAGGATAAAACACCCTGTGCATAAAATCAGTGATAGCATGGAACAAAAAAAAAGAAAGCAGCAAACCTAGCAGCAGAATCCGTGAGGGTTTGGCCACGCTGGAGCTGGGGCCCGTGGCACGGCGGGAAGCGGCCGGTCCGCACGGACACGCGAGGGACGCACGTGGCGCGCGGGAGACGGGAGCGCTGAGGGGCAACGCGGCTCCCGCCTCAGCAAGGGCGGCCGTGTAAACGCTGACAATGTCCATGACTCGTGTGTTTTGGCAACAGACTCGGCATCGTATAAAAATAATGTTCAGTAAAAAAATCCCGGTTTCCATCATAGAAAGTCAGAAGAAAAAAAAAAAAAAGAAAGAAAGAAAAAAGAAAAGAATCGATAGCAATTTCTGTCCTCATGGGATGAAGATGCCCCCATTTGTCAGAAACAGTTTTAAATAACAAATAGTACACTGGAAACAAAAATGGGTCAGCAGCCATTAAACTTGTCCTACATGAAAGTGCACGTCTTTCAATGGAGTTTAACCACCATGAGGTTGTGATCTAACACAAACTGCAACTCAGGACCATAAAAATCAACTCCTTCCGATGGAAATATGGACCACCAGCAAGACGAGATTACTGTTTTCCTTACGAGATTAAAAACATCGAAATTTTGCAGCATCATAGTAAGGCACTCACCCATGGAAAAGTCTGTGACTGTTGCTTCGAATGGCAGCAGCTAACTAGCTTTTTAACACGAGGAAGACAGTTTCAGTTCTGAGCTAAGTGCTAGGGTGCCTTACATTAAATGGGGGGGAATTATTCGGGGGGGAACGGTTAGTGTTAGAATTCTCCTATAAACTAGTTGTTTTTCCCCTTAACCCGTTAAAGCATCTCATATTCTAAAATATTAGTTTTATAAATCTAGTCTTCTGTTTTAAGGCTCTAAAAATTCCCTCCCCCCAACCCCACAAAAAATACCTACCAGCGCCTGGTGGGCAACGGAGGACCAAATCGGCCATTTCACAGTCAGGAGTCTATAGTATTGCATCTTAAACATGAAAACCTGCTTCTGCCTCCTGGGAGTTTTAATCTCTTCCTTGAATGCCTTCATGTGTTTGGTCAGGTCAAAATTTTGGAAAGCCAGAAAAAAAATTAAAAAAATAACCATCAGTCTCTTCCAATCCTACAAAGCGCTGGATCTTTGCTGTCCCGTGGTGCTGGTCTCCTGCCTCAATCGACGCTGCCTGCCCTGCAGTGATTTCTCATTGGAAAAAAAACAAGGTGTCCCAATGCTTCCTTTTTTGTATGGCTCCTACAAATCTGAAAGCTTTCTTGAGTGAGGTAACAAAATTTAGGCTTTCAAGCAAAGTACATGGTACGTAAAGTGTCCTGATGAACCTGCACAGCCTTGGCCAAGGCCTGGGGGTCTCTGCCGTTGCTCTGGCCGGATATGTGGCTGCCCTCGCCGCTGAAAGCGCAAGAAAAATTCCTAATCACTGTGTGATTAGGAACCCGGGGACACGGTCCAGCCCTCGGTCCCGTGCACTGGGACCGGGGTGACCTCCGGGCAGCTCCTGAGCCCCGCTCACCTGTCGTGCTCCTTGTCCACGAGGTGGTAGCGCGCTCGGAAGGCCACCAGCCGTGCGTAGTAGGCGGGCGCCGGGATGGACACGGAGCGCGTGCAGCGCACGTACGTGTGGCACAGCTGGTACGTGAGGATCTGCAGCTCGTCGGCCGTGAAGCGGTTGTCGTCCCAGAGGACGTAGTAATGGGACGGCCGGCTGGTGCCCTGCGGGGGAAGAGGGAGCCGAGTGGCAGGCGCTGCTCGTGCCCCGAACACGGGTGCCCCGGGAGGCGCCACCCCGAGCTCCGCTGCCCGTCCCTCCATCCCCTCTCCCTACGCCGAGCGCGTCACTCGCTCGTGGGCAGTGCAAGAGAGGAAAGCGCCTTGCAGCGAGGCACAAACCCTGCCCAGAGCAGCTGCCTGTGCCAGTGCCCCTCGCGGCACTGCAGCCACCCGGGTCCAGCCAGCTCCGCACAGTCCTCGAGAGGAGCCAAAAGCCTCCCAGGTGGAAGCAGCTGCAAATCAGGCGAGGGCCTTTTCTGTTTGGTTTTGTTTTTCAGCCTTGCTCTGACTCATCCTGGCTGCGTGGCGAAAGGCAGCTGCAAAGCACAGCACCCTCCCCAGCCGGCCGGCTCAGCGCTCCGCTGGGTCCCGTCTGGCGAGCGGGAGCACTGGGGACGTGGCACGAGCTGCCAGCCCGCAGGCTGCTGCTTGGCCTCTCCGAAGGAGGAAACTCTGGGAAAAGAAGCTTGGCTCTTGGGAAAGCGAGTATGTGCTGCACAACGCAGCGGCTGTGCCGCATTGGCACCCACTCCACGCCTGGCACTGTGCCCGCTCGGACAGGCTGCCCAAGCCTCCAGGATTGGCCTTTTCCTGCCCCTAGAAAGCGGCAGGAAGGATCTGCTCACAGCAGGACTTGGTTCACGATCGCAACGGAGGATAAACAGCAGCACGAGAGCAGCTTGGCGGCCTCGGCCTACCTGAATGCCTGCATGGCTGCACAGGTAGAAGTCGAACTCAAAGGGGTGGGTGATGTTTGTATCCACTGTTGTTCCCGCCGGGATGTTCCCGCTCTTCCCAATCTGCAGGGAACAGAGAGCCAAGCCCCGCGTTGTCTGGTTATCTCCAGGCTGGGAGCACTGCACAGAGCTCGCGTGCCAGGCACGGAGCAGCAGCACCCGCCTGCGCCCGGCCCGCACAGGCATTTCCTGCAAGCACCGACACAGGCAAGACATGCACACAGAGCGGACTAGAAACAAGGAGTAAGTGGGCAAGAACTACAGCGATCTCTATGGAGAGTTTTCTGTGGAATCCCTGCCAGGAGAAACGGTGCTCTCGTGCCAAGACCAAAACCTGTTCTCGCTACCCATGCTGATAGAGCCAAAGTCACGTTAAGATTAGATGAAAACTCAGTTTCTCAACTTGGAGCAACTCTAACTCAAAAGTTACAGCAGCCTGTGAGTTACTTGGTGCCTTTGTTGCACAAGCAGCGTTCTCCTCCCAATCTCACAGCTGCTCCATTCGCATCCTGGGCACCACCCACCCCGGCGAGGCAGCAGCACCCACTGCAAGTCCCGTTTTCCGCATGTCTGCCCGCTAACAGCTAACGTGCAAAGACCTCCTGAGCTCACAGAGACTATTTCAAGAGGCAGCAGGATCATCTGCGCCCACTAACTCCCCATAACAGCAAACGGCTGCCTGGCTGTCTTGAAGCAGCCTCACGGGCAGGGATACGCTCACCCGCTCGTTCTTGTCGGCGCAGAAGAGGCGGGTGTGATGCCTTTTCTGGACCACGATGTACGTGATGCCAGGCTGGTAATCCTTTTCCAGTTTGATGCAGGCGTCTCGGATTGCCAGGAGCTCGTAGTGAAGGATCTGGAGACACAAGCGCGCGCTGTGAGCGGATGCACGGGCCAGCTCCCGCAACCCGGCTGCTCCCTGGGGGCAACCCTGGAAAAGCTGCCCAAGCAGCACAGGAGACGCCCAAACACAAGTGGAAAAAGACGACCACTGTTGCCCTAAGCTCCTTGATGGTCACATCCCGAGCTGGTTCCCACATGCCCAGCATCACCAGCTCGCCACCCTTTGGGCCAGCTCCCACCAGAACTAGCCCAACGCCTCTGGCACACAAAAACCTTTTGGCAAACCCAGCCAGCTCAAGCAGCACAAACCAGAGGTGCGAAGCAACGGGCCCCTGGCCACGGGCACCTCTGCTCGGCCACGTGGCAGCCCTGCCAGCCGAGCACAGCGCCGGGGGCACCTCACCTGCGGGAGCTGCCCCTCGGGAACGCCATCGCGATAGAAGATGATCCTGGTGGGCTTGAAGCGGGTGGACTTGTAGAACTGAATGAGCAGCTCCCGCACCATGTAGGACAAGTCCTCGATGATCTCCTGGCGGGGACGCTGCACGCGCACCGTGGCGCAGTACCGGCTGGGGTGGGCGTCCATGCTGCCCACGACCTGCAGCGACAGACGCGTTACCACGCGGGGGACAGGGGATGGGGGACATTCCCGCTCGCTGGACACCCACAGCTGGCAGCTCCCACGCAGGGGGATGGGAGAGCAAGGACCAAGTAGGCTGTGTGTGGTGGCGGCCACATCTTGGTTTCTCGCCCTGCGAGGCCCTCATTGCAGTCAGCAGCGGGACAGCAGGTTGGCACCACTGAGCCAGCCCCAATGGGGCAGCTCAGCTGCTGTCCTGGCTTCGCTGTCCAAAACCTGGGGCAAACAGGGCTGCCCTTCCCACCTGCCCATGCTCCCCTCCCTCATGGACTACATTATCCTGCAACTTCCTGAACTTCCAGCACGGCTGTGGATACCTGGCTACGAAACCCTGCCCTCAACTGCAGCACCACCGCCGTGAAAGCTGCCCAGATAGCGCCCGAGGGAGCCCAGAGCCAAGGGAGCCCAGAGCCGAGGAGGTCCTGGGCTGGGAGCTGCCCCCGTGGCCGGCAAGGACGGCAGCGCCCAGGGCAGCCGGGTGCCACAGGCAGGCAGAACACTGAGGCCGGCAGAGTCCCGAGGCCAGCAAGGCCTCCCTCGCTCCACGTGGCCCCACGCCGGAGCCTCTCGTGTCGCTGTCCCGAGCTTGGACGGTGCCGCTTTTGCTTGGGGAGCGGCTCTGGCCGTGTCGCCCCAGCTGACGCGCTCAGCGAAGCCGCTTCCTCTGGCAACGGGCACGGGCCGCTTCCCTCGGTAGCGGCCTACAGAGAGGGTCAAGGCCGTGGGAAGGCTTTTCCCTCTTCCCCACTTGCAGTTTCAAATAAGCTTTTGTAAAGGTTAAGTTAAAAAACGAAAAGAAAGAGCTGCTGTGGTCCTGCACAAAAAAGCACTTTGAAAAGGTTTCAGAGAGGAAGCGCCGCCGCCAGGAACCAGCCTGCTCTGTCCCACCCACACCTAGCAGCAAGCAGCCAGCAGCACTTCCCAACCTCTCTTAATTAAGAAAAAAACACTCCTCCAGAGCTGCATTTGCATGCCAAGGAAAACCTGAGCTATGGCGCCTGGAAAGCCAGGAGCTTAATAGGAAAATGCTGATGTTCCTGATTGACCCAGGCGGGACAAGAGCCGCACACTCTCCTCTGCGGGACCGAGGGGCGAGCGCGGCGAGTCCCGCGGCCCCGGACGCCACCCGGCCACGTCTGCCGCGGGCTGCACCGTTCGGGGGAGTGTCAGGGCAGACGGCAGATGCTCCACAGGGCTGCGGTGCCCGCTCCGCACGCCCCGTCCCACGGGGCCGGCTCGGCACGAGCCCCATCTGCTGGCAGCTGCCGCCCTCCCGCTGCCAGCCGGATGCCACTGGGATGCCATCGGGATGCACTGGGATGCTCGGGAAGCGCAGCCCTGATACACACATGAGGTGCCCACAAGGCAGCCGGACACCGTGGCCCAACCTCGCCGGCACCGTTCCCTTCACTGCCGTGTCTAAGCGGCACCTTCAGGTGTCTTCCATTCCCTCAAGAGCGGCATCAAGCTGCCCCCCGAGCCACAGGGCCACCCTGAGCGGCGTCACGGGTGCGCAGAGGTGACACAGCCCCTTCACAGGGCCACCAGGCTCCAGCGGGAGCGGGAGGCCCAAGCGCAGCCCTGGCAGGGCAACTTACGGCCGTTATGGAGGGTTTCTTCCCGTCCCCAGCCGGCGGGTGGGTGACGTCGGCCCCGAGGAAGATCACGGGCTGCTGAAAGACGGCAGAGCTGAGGGGAAAGGAGAGAGCAGCCATCAGCCTTTTGGGGCCATCTCAGGAGCCTTTGGGTCCTGGGAGTGACGTGCAGCTCGCGGAGAGGAGCGGATCACGCAGGGACATCTCCCGGGCTCCAAGCGCAGGAGCTGCGAGGCAGGGCGGGCTGGGACCTCACGTTCCGGCTGCATCATGCAGCAGCGCACGGGCCCTTTCCTCCCCCAGAGCTGGCGGCACCGCGAGGGCTCCTCAGAACCCAGGCCAAGGGAAGGGAGGCCACGGGGGACTCCTGCAAGCAGCCCGGGAGCCGCAGCAGCTGCACAAACCGCTGGTGAGGCACGAGGATGTTGTTGATCCCGCCGAGCTTGACGTTGATCTTGAGGCAGAGGTTGGAGAGGGTCTGCGGGGAGGTTTTCACCACGTTTTTGACCTGGACGCACTGTGTGGCCATTCCCAAGAGGGTGTCTCCAACACGTTTCACCTCGGCTGTGGGCAGAGGGGCAAGGGCAGCATGAGAGGGGCAACAGCCACACGCAGCTTTGGGCATTTGCCCCCCAAAACAGGCAGAGGAAGCAATAAGGGAGGGGGAAAACTAGCCCTGCTGCCAGACCAAACCCTTCCCTTCCCGCCCTCGCCCCGTACGCACCGTACACCGGCGTCTTGCCCGGCAGGATGACGATGATGAGCTGCAGCCCCGAGTAGGTGTTCTTGAGGTGCCGAAACATGGGCTCCACGCTGTCTGCTCCCTGCGCGTACTTGCAGAAGCAGGGCTGGCCCTGGATCGGCATCCCCGCGTCCTTGGAGATCTTGCGCAGCTGGTCTGTAAAGTTCCTGCGCCCGGCAGGAGGGACGTGTCGGTGCTTCTGCGCCGCTGCCGCCGGCCCCGAGCGAGGCCACGGGCCGGGAGCTGCGGCGCAGGACGCAGGAGGACCCAGCACGTCGCGGTGCTGCTGCTTCCCCAGCACCCAGCAATGGCCAGGAGACAACCCCGCCTGACGCGGCGCGACACGCAGAAGGCGGCACCGAGCAGTCAACAGGAGCCCAGGCCTCCCTGTCTGCCCAGTGCTGCTCCCAGCTGCACCCAGTTACTGCAGAACCAGTGACCCGAGCTGCTCTGAACCATCCCATAGGATAACAGCACCAAACACAGCCCCAAAAGGCACTCAACACATCTGCCTCGATGCCCTCTCCATGCAGGGCAATGTCAGGACCTGGGTCCGCAGCAGAAGCCTGACCCCAGGGGACTGTTTTCCTAAATCAATGATTCCCACTCAGTGGCACTTGCCTATCAAGGCAGAGGACCTTTAAGCTACCAAAGCTTTTCAGAAAGCCTAAGATTACGCTGTAATAAAAATCTGTGGAGAATTATTGTGCTTCCTAAATAAGCTATACTCATTCAGAAGGGACTGAACATTCTTAAACACAGCAGCCACGTTCTTGTTTTGGCAGCTGGAGCCCAGTTCTCCAACTAGAAGAAACCAGAGATATCTTATCCCACAGGCAAATACTGACTAATCTCATGGGTGGACAGACAGCAGAGGGCACCCAGCACTCCTGGAACCCAAGGAAAATCATTCCACGATAAACCTGAGCTCCCAAGGTAGAGGGGATTTTTATTAAACAACTCCCACAATCTCATCCAACTCCTGCTTGAGAAAGTTCACAGAATCCCAGAATGGTTGAGGTTGGCAGGGACCTCTAGAGACCATCCAGTCCAAGCTCCTGCCCCAGCAGGGACACCGAGAGCTCGGGGCACCCAGTCGCATCCAGGCGGGTTTGGAGACCTCCAGAGAAGGAGACTCCGCAGCCTCCCTGGGCAGCCTGTGCCAGGGCTCGGGCACCCTCACAGTGCAGAAGCTCCTCCTCACCTGGAGATGGAACTACCTGGGTTTCAACATACACCCATTACCCCTTGTCCTGTCACCGGCCACCACTGAGAAGGCTAGAAGCTTAGATTCAGATTAGAAGAGCACAACACAGTGTGAATAGATTCAGCTTAGAAGAGCGCAGCACAGCGTTCTGGTGCTGGTCTGCAGGAGCAGCCTGCAGCCCTGCAGCCGCCCGATGCCAAGGGCGGATCCGGGAGAGGCGCAGCCCGTCCGCGCGCGTTAGGGAGCCAAGGCGCTAGCTCAGGCCTTGGGAACGTGACTGAACACCCAGCCCAGATCCCGTCACATTTGTACTGCTGAGCAAGGGACAGAGCACCGGTGCCACCGGGAGCCCGGCCGCGGCGAGCCGGGCGCTGCCAGGCGCGGACACCCGGCCCACCCGCACGGGCTGCCCCTTTCCTTACTTCAGCACCTCCTCTCGGCACTGCTTCTGCGGGGCAAAGCAAGCAATCGCCCAGACTTTGATCTCAATGCCGTTGTAGAACTGCTTCCCTCGCATGTCCCACACGCCTTGGTTGGGAGTTGCAATGGCCCGGTTCTGCAAGGCAAACAGACGGTCAGAGCGCTGCCGCGTGCCGCGGGGGACCCCCGCGGGCCCCGCTGCCAGCGCGCGGCGAGGACGGCACCCCTGCTCCCCAGCCGACCGCTGCGCTGCTCTCACAGCGTCCACCCCGGCCAAAGCCCGGCCAGCACCTCCAGGGCCCGCCACGGCACCCGGCCAGGCTCCGCCGGCCACGGGCCCCGATGGCAGCACAGCAAGGGCAGGCAGGAGCAAGGCTGCGGGAGCACCACGGCCTTGCCCTGCTCGCCCTTGAGCATGCTTTAGTCATCGCTGCAGGACTCCTGGCTACAGCTTCCACGAAAGTCACACTGCAAAGGTAACCAAAGGCTCTCCAAAAAGAACTCCAACTTTAACCTATGCACCTGAAGGTAGCACAAGTTCTGGGCAAGTCTGGTATTTCCCAGCCTGAAAAACATCTCTTTGCAAACACGCTGGTGGTGTAGTCCTGCTTACCCTGCCTCCGTACTGCAGGATAGGAGCTGGCAGGACCCTCCCCGTCACCTCTGTCATGTCATCCTTCACCTTGATACCAAACTCCTGAATGTAGGGATCCAGGTTGTAGCTGGCATTCTTCATCTGGAGAGGGAAAGAAGGGTCAGTGGGAGGGAATGAGAGCAGCTGCCACTCCCCAAGCAGCGCCCAGCTGCCCAGGGACAAACCGTGGCCTCCACCCTGACCCATGAGAGAGCTCACCTTTGAACTGACCCATGCAACCAAGAACAGAGTCTGCCCTAACAGGAAAGGCTTCACTGGAAAGGCTCAGACCAGGAAGAGATTGGTAGCAAGAATCCCAGAAAAGATAGCAAATGTCCCCAGTCTCCAAAGCCTGGGATGAGCAATCAGACCATGAAGCTGCTCCTGCCTGGCCCGGGCACAGGGGCAGCCCATGACGGGGGCCAGGCTGCAGCCTGCCAGACACAGCCGAGTCCCACACCATCCCTGCTGCCACAAGGACCCGTGCCACGTACCAGCCGACTGATCTCCTCCTGCCTGTCCGGGGCAGACCTGGCCGTTGCTTTTATCATGGTTGACGTCTGATTGTCTGTGAGCTTCTTGATGCACCGCTGGCCCGCCACGATATTGCACACCTGAGGAGCAGGAGAAAGCAAGGAGCGGCACGTGAGGAGCACGCCAAGCATGCGGCATCGCGGCCCCCACGGCCAGCACAGCATCAGAGCAGGGCTGAGGAGCCCGCAGCAGCACTGCCCGGTACAGACGGGCCAATCCGCTCAGCACTTGGAGCCACAGGGCATCGGAGCAGGGCTGAGGAGCCCGCAGCGGCGCTGCCCGGTACAGACGGGCCGATGCGCTCAGCACTTGGAGCTGCACACCCCAGGTCTAACACTTGCATCTGCTGCGCAGCAGAAGTTCTTCCATAAGGAAGCAGTAAATGGCACGTCCCTTTGCTGCGGGACGGCTCGCTCCACGGGAGCACCGAGGCCGTCAGCGCCCGCCGTGTGACGGAGCTGCCTGCAGAGAGCTGGGGCGCGCACGGCCGGCACTCACCTCCAAGGGCAGGTACGTGTGCTTCTGCTCCTGGCCCACCTGGAGGCAGGGCAGGTGCGGGTACTTCAGCTGCAGGTTGTATTTCTGCTTGAAGTACTGAGCCACCGTGCACTCCACGGTCTGGCCGCTCTCCAGCTGCAGGGGGAACCTGGCGGGGCAGGACAGGGGGCTGCAGGGGCTGCGCACGGGCACCACGCAGCCCACGCGCAAGGGAACGGGCAGGCGCCGAGCGGAAAATAAAAGCAGAACCGTGGTATTTTCAGAAACCAAACGAGAGGTCCTCTGGTCCCTGTGTGGGACTGAGGTGCCCAAATAAAGCTCTCCCTCGCTAATCCAGCTAATCGGGCCAAATGTTCCTCACAGGACATGCCACACATGCCAGCACCAGGTACATGGACACAGCTGATCCGGGGCAGTGGCCAGGGAATGTTTATAGGAGCCAGGGCTGGGAGAGACCAGGGGCAGGCGGTGCATCCCACATCCCGAAAACATGGGAAAAATCAACTTCCCAGGGGCAGGACTGAGTGGGGTCGGGCAGGCAGCAGCGGGAATGTGTGATGCCCACGTTCGGCCAGCACCAGCTGTTCATGGCTCCATAAAGAACCCTGTGAGAACCAAGAATTGACCTGATGTTCTCTGAAGAACCAAAATTAGCAAGGCGAGGCACTGCCGAATGCCCTGCCGAGGCATCACATTCCTCCCACGCTTCCCAAGCACCACGGGGCTGGAAAAACAGATGCTAAAGTGCGGGGGCAGTGAGGCCAGGCACAAGCCGTGCCCAGGACGGGACCTACACCTGAGCACGGGACAGGAACACAGGGCCGGACAGCTCTGTATTCTCCAGGTCAATGGGGGAAGCAAGGGAGCGATGTCCTGGAGCGGCTCCGCAGCCGCTCATGCGGGATAGCGGAGCCAAAATGTCCAGCATCACTGTGTGCCTGTATCCTTACGGCTCCTGTTTCCAAGGTGAGGGGGTGTGCTGCCCTACACCCCACGGAGCAAAAGCTCTGGGAGCTCCTCCAGCTCTTTGCATGGCCACTTGTGAGTACAGGGTCTCCTGCCGCTCACAAGCACATACAAATAGGCAAGGGGACTGCTTTATCTCTTGATAAAGCCTCTTCTCTTGATATCTCTTCTGCAGCATCTATTTTAAGTCAGAAGAAAAGCAAGCTCAGAGGTAAAAACCAGGACAACTCGTGGCACATCAGCTCCGGCCCTGTGCGGGGCTCGCAGGCCGCCAGGGCCCTCCCAGCGCTCGCCAGTGCCAGCATCAGCTGCTAGAAAGGGGAACAGCTCCGACTTTTCCGAGGGCTTCTTCCCACCCGCCTTACGTCTGGTGGCTGGCCGGGCGCCTGGTAACGTTGCACACGCGGTATTTCCTCTTCATCTGCCCGCAGTGGGTAACCTCGACCTTCAAACCTAAGGCGAGAGGGCAGTAAAATCACATCCGAGCGCAGGGTCTGCCCCGAGCAATCTTTTTGCCCCTTTTTCCCCGCGCCCCCTTCCTGAGCTGATCAACTCCTCGGGAGCCGTCGCGTTCCCGGCCTCTACCTTTAATCTCCTTGGTGAAACGCACTCTCTGCGAGTCGGTCAGGGGCTTGGGCTGCTCGTCTATGTTTCGGATATCCAGCACCTCGCACATGAACTCGATGACGGGCTGCGCTTTGTAGAAGGCGGTGGCCGACACTGCAGGACAGACCCCGGGATGGGACTCTGCTCTCCTGGGGCGGGCAGGAGACTCGGCCCAGGAGCGGGGCCAGGTCCTGCCTCCCCAGGCAGCCCCGCCGCAGCAGCTCTTGCTCAGGCCCGGCACACGGGCAGCTCAGCCCTCAGCACCTTCTCCACGGCCTTGACTTGGCTTAAGTCAATAAAAAACCACCCCTTCATTTAGCAGCAAGACCAACAGCACCTGAAAGCCCCTCCTTAGGGCTGAGACCCCATCACTGCCATCAGCAATGACTCTAAATCCCCCAGGGAGCCCCAGCTCGTGGTGCTGTGACCTGTGTGGGACGGCAGCCCCGGCGAGCCCCACGAGCAGTCCTGAGCCCCGACTTACCGTCGATGTTGAGCATCATCTTCCACATGGCCGGCCGGACGGACTGGTGGAAGCCGAACCAGACCTCCCTGCCGCCGCCCAGCGGGTGGTAGTAGCCTTCCGGGGGCGAGAAGAAGGAGCGGCCCACGGGGGTGTACCTGCCAGGAGAGCAGGCGCCGCGTCGGCCCCGCGCGCCGGGACCCCCGAGTGACCCCAGACGCCGTCGCGGCCCCATTGGCTCCTCCCCGAATCCTTCAGGTTGGCAGGGACCTCTAGGGATCATCCAGTCCAACCCCCTGCACACGCAGGGGCACCCAGAGCTCGGGGCACAGGCTGCGTCCAGGCGGGTTTGAAGACCTCCAGAGAAGGAGACTCCGCAGCCTCTCTGGGCAGCCTGTGCCAGGGCTCAGGCACCCTCACGGTTAGGAATTTTTTCCTTAAGTTCCTGTGGAGCTTTTGGTGCTTCAGTTTGTGGCCGTTTCCTCTAGTTCTATCAGTGGCCACCCCTGCAAGGAGGCCGCCCGATCCTCCTCACTGCCTCCCTTGAGGCATTTGTAGACCCTGCTCAGGTCCCCGCTCAGCCTCCTCTTCCTCAGGCTGGACAGGCCCAGCTCCCTCAGCCTTTGCTCACAGGGCAGATGTCCCCGCATTTGTTCGTGCGGCGGGAGCGTCTGCAACGATGGCACCAACTCCTCGTGCCGGGGGAACCGGGACACCGGAGCGCAGGGTGCGACCCCCAGGCCTGGGGGGTGAGCCCCCAGCACCACAGCAGGCTGCCGCCTCGGCCCGTGGGGTCCCCCCACGTTCCCCTTGGCCACCCCCAGCGCCCCCCTGCCCGCGTCCCCCTTCACCAGGTACCTCATGGAAGCCAAGTGCCTCATGGCCACGTCCAGCGCCTGCACGGACTCCAGCGGGACGGGGATCTGCCCGCTCACCAAGGCCTCGTGCAGCATGCGCCAGCTCACGATCGCCATCCACTTGATAGACACCTTGAATATCCTGTCCTTGCCCTCCCCGGGGATTGTCACCTCAAAGTCAACCTGGGCGAGGGAGGGAAGGGACAGTGGTCAGGGCGGCTCCGGAGAAGCGGGTGCCGCAGGAGGCCCCAGGGAGGCGGGCAGGTCACTCCTAACGGGCGCTGCCTGCTCCTTCTCACCCGCTCGTTGCCGATGGGCAGGGCTGTGACCGTGTAAATGTTCTTCTTCCCATCATAGACTGGCTTGCGGTCGCCGAAGATCTGAGGCTTGAAGTGCTGCACCATGTACTCCACAACTTCCCTATGCAGAGGAGGCGGCATGAGGACACGGAGCACCGGGGAGAGAAAAGGAAAGCTTGTTTGGCCACTGGTTTTATTTTTGCAACCTGCCCACCGCTCAGTCCATGACCCTGGCTGCTGCTGGGCTCCCAGGTCCCTTCCCGGGCCAGAGCTCCCCAGCAAGTCGCCTGCTCCAAGGTCTTAGATGGACTCGAGCAGACAGGTTTACACGAGCAGCTGGATGTGGGGGGCAGCATCCAAAAGGCCAACAAGAAACAGAGAGGCTCACGCTTGCCTGAGCTCCGTGACTCGCTATTTTTAAACATGGGAGTGCTGCCAAAATAGCCCAAGTGCTTTGAAGAAGCAGGGGCTGGTGCTAAGGCTCGGGATCTCCCGAGGCGCTGGGGACAGGGACGAACGCCTCGTCCCAACAGTCTCCAGCAGCGAAGAACAGCACTTAGGGCATCTCCAGCAGGAGCCGGGAAGCAGGGAGAGAGGGCCAAAACCTCTAATACTTGCCTTACCTGTTGACTCTGCGCGGACATTTGTCAGGCTTGATGTCCACTTCATAGTGATAGACATCGATCTTGGGGATGTCCACTTCAAAGTAGTTGGCCAAGAGCTTGATGGGCTTCCCGACAGTTCCTATCCCGGGCCGGCGCGGTGCCTGGAATACCTGCTGCAGGGGAGGCAGGTAGGCGCCTGCAGCTGCGGAGAGCACAGCGGGGTCAGGAGGAGCCTCGCGATGCCGAGGAGCAGCTCACGCGCACCACACGGCTCTGCAAGCAGCCCCAAGCTGCGCTTGGCTGCCTTTGGCACCAGAAACGCGGGGGCAAACGCCAGGAACGGCGACACGGAGCCTCCGGGAGCCCGTCTCGCCCGGGCTCACGGCGTCCGTGCCGCACAGCCATTCAACGGCCGGGATTTGCAGGGTGGCAGAGCGCTCGCTCGCCTGGTATTGCTTCTTAACCAGGACGCTTTGAAGCGCCCGAGAGTCCCCATCACAGAGCATCAACCTTCCTTTCATCTCCACCCCGCTCCCCAGCGTACAGTTCTCAGACGCTTTTCAGGAAAACGCATCGTGCCAGCGGCAAAGGCTAATTCCATGGGCACTGCTGCTAAAAATAGGGAGAAAATTAGGAACAGTGCAACGAAAAGCTCCTCGCAGGGATACTGGAAGGCAGCTACGAAAGGAAAGATGAGAAAGTGATGCAAGACTGCACGACTGAAGAGCATTTCTAAACCGGCAGCATCCTTGGACTCAAAGGTATTTTAAACCCCTCTCCCGGTTGATTTTTGTCTCAAAATCAAGCACAATCGTTGGCCACCTGGGCTGGGGTAGGGAACACGGTGTATAAGATACTGGGAGCGCTCCATCTGGATGGCCAACTGTCAAAGACACCCTCCAAGCAGCCCTGACTCCCATTCGGGATCCCCAGCACATTCTGCTCCTAGCAGCCCTTGCTCCCATTCAGGCGCTTTCTCAACCCAAACGTCAGCCCTGCCCGGAGAGCACGCGGCCCACGAGCGGCCGCCGACGCGGAGTGGCCCCCGAGGGTCTCCCCGGCGCCCAGAGCCCCCGCGGCAGCCCGGCAAAAACACCCGAGGGCAGCCAGGGGAACGTCCCTTTCCCACGCAGAGGGGACACGGAGCAGCGGGCGGGCGGCAGCACCGGCGCGGTGCCCTCGTGGCACCAGCACGGCCCATGCAAGCAGCTTCACGGAGCCCGTCTGCTCCGTGTCCGTGGGCGCTGCGGAGCCCCAGGATGCGGCCGCGCGCCCCGCACTGCAGCTCGTGTCTCCACATGACTAAGGCTTCTTGGCAGGGGCGCTCGCTGGCCGCGAGCGGCTGCGTTTTGATGCCGCGCTTCGCAATCGAATCGGTATTCGCCAGCGCGGCCTCTGCGGAGAGAAGCCGCCCGGCTCCTCGCGTGGCCTCCCGAGCCGCCGCTCCCGGAGCGCTCCGAGGCGCCCGGTGTGCAGGGCAGGGCCGGCTGCGTGGAATCCTCCTGGGCCTCCATGGATGCGCCGTGTGGGATGGAGCTGCACCACGAGGCAATGCGCCGTGCAGCCGCGCGGCACCGCGGACACCGGCTTCGTGGCCAGGTCTGCGAGTCGCCCTGGGCTGACATCCGAGTTCGTCAGGCTCAGGAGCGGAAAGGAAGCCGGGAAGCGCCGCGAGCACAGCGGGATCCACGGGCATGTGCCAGCAGCGGGCACGGCAAGGGCAGCATGCCGGAGCGCACCCCTTCCTGCCCCGCATCCCTGCCTCGCTGCACACCCCCCTCCACAACCCCCAAAACGGCTCTGTTCCCCCCCAAACCCCGCTCCGCCGGGCTGCAAAGGGAGGCACCGGGGAGGGCCCGGGCTTGTCCCGCTGTCGCCATCCCTGTGCCGGGAGCCGGGAAGGGAGCGGGGGCTCCGCGCACGCATTCCCCTTTGCAGGGAGCTGCCTGGAGAGCAGGGGTCTCTCGCATACCTCCACTCTCCATGGCAAAGCTGCACAGACTCCCACTTTGTCATGTAAATGAGGGTGCCCCGGCACAATGCAGGCGGCGAAGCCCAAACCCATCCTGCTCCACGGAGCCGGGCGCACAAAGCCGGGCCCTGGGACCAGGAGGTGGCAGCGGCTTGGGGAAAGGGGCCCGGGAATGCGCTTTGTGGCCCCGTTATTTACGGCAACAGCTGGCAACCGCGACCCGCAGCCCGACAGCTGCCGGGGCCGCGCGCGGCGCCGTGAAATGACCGTGTCATCGCAGCCGCCGCGGCGCTCAGCACGGGGCCGCCGCGGCACGGCGACAAAAGCAAGTTCCACCGCCCCCCAAAACCCCGCGCCCCCCTGCGCCGCCCCCCAGGCCAGCGCAGCCCCGAGGCGACGCCGGCACCGAAATTCATCTTTTCAGCCCCAGAACGAGCTCGCGCCGGGCGGGCGGCAGCCGCGTTTTCTGGCCCGCGCGGATTGGAGCAGAACGCCCCATAAAGCGGCGGCGGCGGCGGCGCTTCGCGGGGCTTCTCCTGGGGGTTTTGTGCCCGGCCCCATCTGCACCCGCCGCACGTCCGCGCACGGGGCCGCGCGCGAAGCGCCGCCGCCGCCGGCACCTGGCTCCTCATTGTCCCGGGGGGCTTCCCCCGCGCCGCCCAACGGCTCGGAAAAATAAAGTTTAGAACGCGCTCCTCTTAAATAGCCACTTATAAACCAGGCTGCGCTACTCCCCACAATGCTACATGAGTGAAAAGTGGTTTGGGGGCTCCCTCAGGTGTTTTTGCTTTTTTAAGAACACATATATGCACAAGTTTCTCTACTGTTCCAGCATTAAGAGTGTCCTTTCCCCCTCCCACAAAAAAAGCCTTTTCATGGAGCTGCCTCCAGCCCCCTGCCTGCTCCGCCCTCTCCAAAGCGGCCGCTCCATGCGCTCCCCGCAGGACGCCGTCCCCAAGCAGAGCCTTCCGAAGAAGCACTTGTTCTGCTCCCCGCCAGCCCAGGTGCCCATGAATCCCCCGCCGCCCGAGTCACCCAAGGCACAATTAGGTCAATGCTACGGAGCTGCCTTTGGGTTCGACACCAACAGCGGCGTCACTGGGCCCGCAGCACGCGGCGGGCAGGGGCTCCGGCCAAGAACGGCAACTCGCAGCGTTAGAAACATCCCCGGGCACCAAAGCAGGCGCCCGGGCACGATGTGCACGGGCACGCGGGCGGCTTCGCTGCAGGATTTACCCTCGAAAGCGGCTCTGCTGCCGTCTGCTCTGCACACAGCAACGCGACACGCTGCTTCTCCCAGGATAGTTGTTCCCGGGATATTTGCTCCTTCGGATGCGAATGGAGCCCTCCGGGGCTCCCCAGCGCGGGCTGCTCCTCCAGAGCTCCCAGTCATGGAGCTCAAGGCCGGGACAGCTGCAAAGGGCAAAATCCCCCAGCACGTGGTGCTTCCATGCGGGTTGTCACCTACCGGCACCGGGACCCTGCACGGACCAGCTAAGCAAGCGCAGGCACAAGGAGAGCAGCAAAGCTGCTCGCGCGGCTTGGGAAAGGGCCGGGACAAGGCGGAGGCTTCGGATTCCCCCTGCCCGGCTCCCCGGACGTCTCCGCGGGAGCTCCGTCTGCTCCGGCTTCCCGATTTCTTTTGGCATCTGCCATTTTAATCATTTGTCCCTGTTTTATTCTCCCTGGGTTTGCAGATAGACAGGAGAGCGTGTGGAGGCAAACGGCACGGGTTCGGGCTCGGGGCGACGTGGTCTCCCGGCTTTGTTTCTTGCAGTAATCCCTTCCTAGAACCACACGTGCGCTTGCGTGTTTCCTGCAGATAAAGGGAGCCCACGGAAAGAAAGAGCAGCCCCGGGCTGCTCGTGGCTTCGGCACAGGAAGAAAACGGTTAGGATCCGCGGCAGTTAGGAAGCTTGCAATGGACAGAGAAAACTAAAGGGCCGGGGAGAGCCGAGCTCAGCCCGCAAAAGCAGCTCGTGCGCGCGATCCTCCGCGGGCAGCTGCTCACGGCGCCCCCACGTCCCCCCCACTGCCGCTCCAGGTATCTGCACCTTCCACGGCTCGAGGGAAGCGGGAGGGAAGGCTGGGATGAGATGCTCCAGGTTTGCTGGAGCAGCTGGAGGAGCTCCCGGAGCGGCTCCCGCAGCCCCGGGCTGGCGCCCGCCTTGGCTGTTGCCTCCGCTCTCTCGAGCGGTGTTTCTGGTGCTCTGGGTGCCACCGTGAGCCGGGTGTCCCCTGCGGAGGCCCCATCTCCAGGCCAGGCCCAGGCTGGGCAGTGACACTTAGATACTGGTGGGGAGCAGCAATCCCGAGCCGTGCGGTCAGGAGCGTCCAGACACGCGTCCGCTCCAGCCAGACGCCGGCGTCCCCTGGGACGTTCCGTGAAGCCCCTTCTCAGAGCTCCTCAAGTCCTGCTAAACCTGCGCACAAGGGGCCTGGGCAGCAGCTGCCCTTCCCAGGGGGAGCTCGGGACACGGAGCAGGCGAACTCCGGCCACGGAGCAAGACGTGGATCAAGCCCCGGCTCCCGCTGCCACCTCCAAATCGCCACTCGCCGACGGCCACTCAATGGGCACCAAACACCAGGAGCCAGGACCCTCCATGGCGCTCCGGACCGACGGCACCAAAGGAGGCCCAAAGTTCGGTGCCACAAACAGTGCCCGAAGCGGCGGCACCGGCCTCCCGCCCGCGCGGCCGCCGGGGCGCTCGCGCCCTCGCTCCGGCTCCCACCGCCCAATATCCCCTTGCCGAGCCATTGCAGGGAAGTCCGCGACCCGGCACGAGCGCGCCGGCCGCCCACGGGCCCCGTGGCATCTCTCTGCCCGCAGCATCCTCGGGTCCCACAGCATCCCCGCGTCCCCAAAGCATCCCCGGGTCCCCACATTGTCCTTGTGTCCCGCAGCATCCTCCAGTCCCCACGTCCCGCAGCAGGGACACGGATCCCGCTCCCGGAGCGCCAGTGCGGATGCTCCGGGGGCCCAGGGCTCAGCGGCTGCTGCCCAAACCCTTCTCGTGGGGGCTCCCCACTGCCCCCCGGCCCCGCTGCCTGCTCTGGGGGCTGCCCCCTGCCCCGCTGCACCCCACTGCACGGCTCCCCGTCCGCTGCGGCCCCCCGGGCCCCACTGCAGCCCCCAGGGCTCCATCTGGCCCCTGAACGCCGGGATCTCCCTGCAGACCCCCA